TGCTGGGACTCGCATTAAATGGCCTAGGATCCGCGTACTCCCTCCCTCTTTGATAGCATCATACATTTCATTCGCTTCTTTAGCATTTTCTGATTTGTATCTGAAAAATAAATAAATTTCGTCATATCGAGTTTATTCGTATGCCTTGGAAAATAAAAATGTATTGAAGATAAAAAACACCGTCCGCTTTATCCAAACTGAAACTCCAGAGCTTATTTTCAAAGTCGTTAAACGATAGCAAGAGGGAAGTCCCACGGCGTGGCAACAACACCCAACTCACTATTTTTTCGTCTTTAAAGTACGTCGAATAACTATTCCAAAATCCAAGCCTTTAGCAAGTGATCTGATTTGATTTTGACTAAAGGGCTAACAGGTTCTAGATACACCAGCCAAGACTGAAACTTTGAGCATTGGCTCTGGGGTCGTTATGCGATAGCAAGAGAGGACTCTCATGGCATGGTAAAATCACTTCTCTCACTATTTTTTCACAGAGACGCGTCGCACAGCCATTCCAAAACCAAGCCTTCAGCAAGTGATCCGATTTGATTTTGACTAAAGGGCTAACAGGCTCTAGATATGCCAGTTTGAGAGAACGGATTGTTATTATGCCAGATTGGCAAATGTCGTTCTTATATACCATCAGGTGTTACGTACGGTTATATCACGTTTGCCAATTTTCAATTTTATGAAAGCAGGTGATCTGCTGGTAAACGCGCTCTCAGAAAATAGTAACTAACAAGTAACCGGATAAATTGCGCGACCTAAGAATCTCAAAAATGCAAACCAACTCCGAAAAGGTGGAATACGTACAAAAAAGACTATCCAGACTTAGCGTCATCACTTTTTTCAAAAAATACAGATATAGATATGACTCTCGCAATGTTGCCCAGGAAGATCTCAGAAAATGTTTGGATCATATAAGCCGCTCTGTAAAGGCTAAAGCTGCAAACGTCGCAAAGTAATACCTAGCCGAAGATCTAGACGTAAGGCATCATTATTACAAATAAGTATTAAGTCGTTATCGTCTACACTTGAGCGCTCATGTTACATCCTTGTATCATACAGAATATGTTTAAGTCAAAGCAGGCCGAGGATTTTTGGCAGAAACTCGAGAAAAAACAATTGAATGATGATGTAAACTTTTCTAAGGTTAGTAATCGAAACCTGAATAGTTTATTAGAAAAAATTATTTAATACTTGCTCTGCAATCTAGGAAAAACATAATAAGAAACTTATCATTAACGTTTTGCGAGAGCACGATGCTGTCAGTGGCCTAATGGTCTCTAAAACTGAAGGTTCAATCCAACAAACTTCCATTGATGATGACCCTCCCAACGGCGACGACCTTTCTGATGAAGATCTTTCTAATGAAGATCTTTCTGATGATGAAGACCTTACCAATGATGAAGACCTTTCCGATGGTAACGACCTTTCCAATAATGACGACCTTTCCAACGATAAAAACGATGACTTTTCTAATGGTGGTTCTAACTCAGGGAAAAATATAGAGTATGAGAATGAAGACGACGTGGAAGTTGCCGACTTATGTGAGCCGCATGTGATGGAAGCTGAAACTGGAAAAGTGCTAACTTCAGATGAATGGGCGAAAGTACGGGCACTAGTGAAGAGCTATCGATTAAAAATACCGAAGACGAGGTGTACATACAAGTGAGTTTATCTTTAATTTATTGTTAAATACCATCAAACTTGAATTGACAAGTTTTCCAGTCCACTTTTCTACCACATTGTTGACCATTCAGGTCAACACGGGCCAACCACAAAATTACTTAATCGATATATACCATCAATGCGTCGGTCACTACCTGACGTGAGCTTTGATTTGCCGAGCCTTTCGGCTGAACAAGATAAATTCTTTGATGAACTGCTTGCGGTAATTATAATATTATATCTCTTCGAAGTCTTTAATTGTGGACATTTGCTAAGATATATTAATATAGGCAGAGGACCTACAAGATGTTCGCGCAAGTACCTCTGAACAACGAAATGCCAAAAAATTGGTTGATAGAATGTGAGTTAATGTAGAAGTTTTTATTGGAGATGATGGCATCTAATTATTTTTGCCATTATTATTTTTTTAGCAACGATTCAATAAATTGCCCCAACAAAGACAATATCCCAGAATATGAACACACCATGCGCAATGTAATTCCGTTCGTTGACGCATCAATCAGAGATGCGTCAGACTATGTTATACGCTAGTAAGTTGGCTCTTGGCAATTTATTACTTATCAAAATAGCTAATTCTTCACATATATATGCATTAGTTTTGAAAGTACGCTTCGTGCCACAGCAATACGTCGTAATTCAGGTGGAGATCCTACAGAGCGTGCACGAATGGGATATAGGGTAGATGTGCTTGTCAAATTTAATGGCCTACATTGGAGTCCTGACCTTGGGTGTGGCGAGATATCAGGAGGACTTCCAAGATGCTCTTCCGCTAAAGAGTGGATGGATACTCTTAAACTTGGATGGGAATTACGTGATGTGTGGGCTCTGACTCAAGATCAGTTGAATGGAGTGGACGCCAGTAACTTAATCGTGTGGGGCTTTGCTGTTGTTGGTGAGTGATAAGTTTAGCTTGACATGCTGGTTTAGCCTATTAATTTGATTAAATTAAATGATTTAGCTCGCACAATTCGTATTTACGCACTCACGGCTGCTGGTGGATTGTTTCATCTCATACTTGCTTACGAAGCGCCTATGCCATCATCGAGATGGGACAAATATAACATCAAAATCGCTTATTGTACTTTTTTGGGACTTTTACAAAAGTTGGATGCTACCAAGAAGATGCTTGTCGATCTGAACAACGAAAGGATAAAAAATGTTATGCATTGGAGTAAAACGGAAAAAGTTGTCTGCTGTTTTTCCTTCCCCACCAATCACTGGGTCACCAGCAAAAAAAAAGAGAAAATAAAATTGTAATTTGTAAACTAAATAGTTCCGTTAAGATTTAATGTAATAATGATCTTTTTTTGAGCTAATAAAAGAATTCAATGCATCACAAAATACTGTACCTGTGACCAATTGCCTGCCCACATGATTTTTTTTATTTTTGAATATTAACATACTAATACTACATTACACAAGCATGCAATCTGAAATAGATGGTCCCGGTGAGATCGATTCATTAAAACAAATGCATTAGCGATCTTGAGGCCGAGAACAATAAAATTAAGGCCGAAAATATTGAGTTTAAGGTCAGAATTGTGAAATTGGAAGATAAGCAATCGCAAAACAAACTAGTAAAAAATTTAATATCTGTACCATGATCGGCATTAGAGGCGCACACGTGATTTGATCGAAGTTGTATTACTAGCAGATCTCTCACGATATTGACGCGTAAATTTATTCACACTAATTGCCTGAATGCAGAGAATGTTCAGAATTCTTAGATTCTTAGAATTTTTTATTATCTGTATAAAATGACTAATAATATACTGACACCATCTTTTCACATATATTACTCGAAGCAACTTAACCAACTTCCTCGATCCATCAAAATAGATATATGGCGACGCCTTACATCTCGAAAATATCCGTTATCACTGGAACAGGCAAGTAGTATTCACCCTGAAGTGGAAGATTTGTTAAATAAGGCAGTTGAAAATTATATTAAGAAAAAGGAGAATCAGAAGATGAAGCCTATTACTAGCAACTGTGAAACTTCACTAAGGCAAGAAAATGAGGAGTTGTGTATATCAAAGCAGGTATTGGACAAAAAGATTGAAAAGCTTCTCGATTTGCAAGAATAGTATAATTCTTGCAAGGTAGCTATGACCAGGTCTTTGGAAGAAAGTGGTGAGAAAGTCACCCAATTATCAAATTTGGTAGCTTTTTTCAAAAGTATAATTCCTGATATGAGAAAAGCTATTGCATCAGCTAAAAAGTCCATTGATCTGTTAGAGAATAAATGCTGACATCTGGAGGATATTATTTCTGCTAAGGATAGGAAAATTATTGCTCTTGTTAATCAGATCCTTTCCAAAATGAAGCATAGTGATGTGACTATAGAACCAGAAATATATTCTAGCACTCATGAAAATAAATTATGGGCGAAGAGACGTAGTGAATCTGAATATGACCTAGAAACCTGAAAAAAATATACATTTCGTCTTACTCAATAGCTTTGAGAAAAAATTCTATTCACTAAGAAATGACGTATCCCATCCTTTTCGTATTCAGTGGAGATGATTTGGGGGTACTATCAAATCGAAGACAATGAAGTTCTGTTCACATAAATAGTTTTTAACATCTGCATATATGCTACGCCAGTCATTAGCATATAGGCGAAGAATATGAGCTAATTCATCTGAAGTGAACCCATTGAAAAGTACAACATAATTTAAGTTTTTTCTTATTAATTTTGGGCAGTCAAAAAAACTCTGAGAGACGTAAATACTGCTAATATTACTATGTCGTCCTCTAGAAAAATAAGGTTTAATTTTCTCCTGAACTTTCTTCGAATCGGCACACACATCTTCGAATATGGCCACTGTACCTCTCTCTGGAGAAAAGGAATCAGGATTTGGAATTTTATCAGGCTTCAGAGCCCGAAATGTAATATTTTCACAATATAGTTTTGGGCTATTTGCAATTATCTGATACGCCGATTTGAGATATAAATATTTTGACTCTTTGAGATAATGACCAATAAGAACCAAATCGTCATTTTTTATATAGCGTGTTCTTCCCTTTTTACCATTAAATATACGATAAAGCTTATTCCTTAATAATAGGTTTACGACTTCATTAGTTTTTCCTGAATTAATACGATCACTGATTAGTAATGTAAAGAGCCATTGAGGAGTTGAATTCAATCTATTAAACCTTTTTGCATCTTTAATCTCATCAACATAAAGAATGATTTTTTCTGCTGGATCAAGCTTTTCAACTTTCATATTATCGAAACTAAGTATTATTAATATTATATCAAACGAAGTAAAATTTCTTAGTGAAATTTCAGCGAACTTGATTCGCTCAAAATCACGTGAGTTTTGGCTGGTCCTTTTGGGACCACTTCACTTCATCCAAGAATCCTTTCTCAATTAACGTATGTTTGATATAGGGAAAAAGATCAGTGGTATATGAGATTTCAATAAGGCATATACTTTAGTTCTTGTATATATCCCACTTTTTCTGATCGCGCATATTTTGTGATTTTAGATTTTCATTCTCCTGGTGGTAGAAGCTATTGTGATGATAGTGTTGAGAATCCTGGAATTCAAATACAAGACACAATTCCTCATTATATTCATCCAAGTGTAGCCTATCTAAGAACTTAGCTCTACATAGCAGAAATTTCTTACCTAATAGATCCTCAAAAATATATCAAGACTTGCGTTCACCAGTAGTGTAGTGACATAGAGGGCACTATTCAAATTTTCCATGATGTATTTTAATAGATACTCCTATTGATGCACAACGTTTTCACAAGACCAAAGATAAACATTATGACCATTTATTCGTTCAGTCCTTCTTAGGCATTAACCACCTCGCTTTTTGGCATAATCAATAGCTTGATCTAGCTCGTTATTGAAAGGAGAAGCATATGCAATATGTATAGATAATATGCTTTGAGGTGGATGACCAACCCTTTCTGGATCAGCTATTAACATGAGCTCTTCTTGCACAAATTCCCGCTTTGATGTATATTCATCACTATCAAGATAATATAAAATTGGTTCATTCTTTATGAGAACAACTTTTCAGACTTTATGAAGAC